TTTTGGGGGGTCTCTAGGCCATGCGCAACACTGTCATAATTTTTTATTTTTTTTATTTTTTTTTTGCCAAAAAGGCGTCGTCCGGAAATCCGGACGATGGGGGGGGGAGACGTCCGGGGGAGACGTCCGGTGGAGACGTCCGGTCTCCGGACCATTGGTAACCTAGAAAATAAGTAATTTTTTTCTCACGCCTTAAAAATATTTTAGAATTAATTATTTCACCTTCGGAATTTTCCTAATACTGCGAAAAATTTTAAAATTTCCTCTTCCAAATTTATTCAGAATTTCTTTTTTGTAATCCAGGATTACCTTATTCTTTCCTAAATTTCAAGTTTTTTTGTAAATAAATTTGGAGTAAATTTAAATTCAAATCGAAATTTATTTTCTTCGAAATCAATCATTTTTTTTTTCGATATTTTCAGCGTTTATTTCTTTGGCAATTTTCTGAAAAAAATCATTTTGCAAATCTCTCCTTCGAATTCTTCCAAAATTTTGTTGTACTCATATTCTCGAATTAATTTCGAATCAATAAAATTCCAGTTGGAATAAATTTATTCAAAATTAATTCCTGCCCCCGCCCCTCCAATTTCATTCCCTTTTATTTTTGAAAAATCTTGGCAATTATCTTTATTTATTTGTTTTCTAGGCTACCAGTTGTCCGATGGCAGGACATCCTGGGCGGACAGTCAAGGGGGTCCCGGACGTCCGGGCCCGGACAACTTCATTTAAAGCAATTAAAAGCAAGAAAAAGGTAAAAAAAAAAAAGTTTTTTTTTAATTTAATTTTTTATTTTTAAATTGGCAGCGAATTTCGATATGATTCCAAGGCAAAAGTTGTTCAGTTTATTTTTCTGTATAACATACTTTTTTTTCAGATTTTTCCTAGGTTGTTTTACTGGACGTCCGTGACCCCCTAACCGTCCGGGATGTCCGAACGGACGTCTGGTCAGACGTCGGATCGGACAGGGGTTGTCCGACCTAGCGAAAAAATAAAATAAAATAAATAAAAATTGTTTTTTCCTAGGCTACCAGCCGGGCCGCCCGGGTCCCGGGTGGCCAGCCCGTGCAAGGACAAGGCAGGGTCCCAGCAAAAAAAACAAAATTCAAAAAATCCGAAAAAAAACTATGTTATGCAGAAAAATAAACTGAAGAACGTTTGCCTCAGGGTCACATCAAAATTCTTTACCAAATTTGAAATATAAAATAAAAATTTAAAATATTTTTTATTTTTTTTAATTTTTAAATCTTTTTGGCCCAGCCGGACAAGTGACCCCGGGCCACTTTGGTAGCCTAGTTTTTTTTGAAAAAAATCATGAGGCTTCTACCTTGCATAAGGTGTATGCCACCAAAAGTTTGGCTCATTTGAGCTAGTAGAAAAAAAGACAAAAATCTTCAAAGTTTCTAATCCCTACCTATACCCCTCCTATCCCCACCAAAACCCCTCGTACCCCCCCCTACCACCCCAAATAGCACCCTATCACCAAATGCTCCGGGATCCCGGACAACCCCCCTACCGGACGGTTGGGGGAGACGTCCGGCCATCAGACGACTGGTAACCTATGATTTTCCTAAGGACTTTTTTTTTTTTTTTTTTTTTTTTTTTTTTGATGTTCGGGCTCGGACAGACTGCCCGGGGAGGACGTCCGCCCAATTGTCCGATCGGACAACCCCGGACGGTCAGGGGGGTCCCGGACGTCCGATCAGGTAACCTAGTTTATTTTCGAATTTATTGTACTGTGAATAAATAAGGAATTGTCCCCCCACATCTCCACATGCCACCACGCCAAACCAAGACCTTCCAACGCGCCGCCGCCACCGCCGCTGCTGCTGCCGCTAAAGCCGCCGCGACCTCCACTGCTCCATCCTCCTCCGCCACCTCGCCTTTGTCCTCTCCAATGGCCGAAGGTGCTTCAAGTCTCAACATGAGCTCTCTCCGGGACGACTCTGTGGCGGATATCCACCGCGAACTCGTTAGCCAACAAACCATCGGGGAGAACACCCCCGACTCATCCTTCCTCTCCATCCTTCGGTCCATACAGGACCCCCTCCGGACACATTCCACTTCCATCGCTGACATCTTAAGCCGGTTGACCGCCCTCGAGTCTCAAACCACCACCCCCTCCATCCAGGTGGTCACCACCACCACCCCCACATCCACAGCTACCTCCAGTCACACCCCCCCGCCAACCTCCTCCACTCCTACTACCTGTACCACCACATCCACCACCTCTGCCTCCTCCACCCTTCCCCCCCCCTCATCCGACACTTCCAGCATACCACCTCATTCCTCGCCTGACCTCGTTACCCCTCTTCCCCCCCCGCACTCCCATACTATTTCACAACCCATCATGACGACCTCCACTATCCCCACCCCCTTCCCACCTATTCCCAAGTCGCCTCCGGGGTTTACCCCGCAATGCCACAACTTCCCCCCAACTACCTCCTTGACGACAACAACCAATTCGATTACACTTGCTACGACACTATCCCCGATAACCTCAACTTCAACACCCTCGCCCGGATCGTTTCCAACGAAGGGGAAATCCCCCGTTCCTTCCGATCCGCCGACATCATGCCCTTCTCCGGCCTTCCCCACGAGGACGTTTTCCTCTTCCTTACCCAGCTCCAGAACTCTTTCAAGCTCCACCACATGCCCCTTGTCCATTGGCTTCCCATTGCCACCTCCCGCCTCCTCGGCAATGCCGCCAAATGGTGGATGGTCGAAGTCAGCAACCACTGCGCCGCCGGAGGACCGCGTCACTCCTTCCTCCAATGGACCAACCTTCTCACTGCCACCTTCCGCCCCCAGAAAACCATCGATAACTACCTCAAACAATTTTGTCACCTCCGCCAGACTGGTCCCACGGACCACTTTGTCCAATACATCTGCTCCCTCCGCCATCACTTTCCCTCTACCACCATTTTCGACTTTGCGTTCATCTCCCGCATCAAGCGAGTATGCCACAAGGATCTTGCAACCGCTGCCCACGAACCCGACATGCCCCTTGCTGACATCCTCTCTCGCATGCTTCACCACGATCGACTCCTCCACCCCCATCATCAGTCCGCGCCCGCTCCATCCCGCCCCCTTTTCTTTCATAGTATCACCCCTTACGACACCACTCCACCCGCCTCCAATGACGACTTCAACACTGCCTCTCTCGACCCCCCCCAATTCACCATTGAGGACCTCCAAGCCGCCCACCTTGTGTAGATGGAACGCTAGGATCGTGCCTCCCGACCGCCTTCTTCCTCTCCACCCGCCCGTCTCTAGAAACTTACAGAACGCATATACCTCCGAGAACACAATGGGTGTTTTCGCTGCCGCCAGTTAGGTCACCAACAGACCAACTGCCCCAATGCTAGCCGCTTTACTCGATAGGCCCCTCGCTCCGTGGGACCCGACCCTTCTACTCCCACTTCTTCCTTCACCGCGATAGCCGGACCCTCCTCCACCTGAACACTGTCCCCCTGTCTCTTGCAATCCTCCCCCAGAATCGGCCACTTGTCTGTCGGCTCTCCCAACGGTGATGATCTCTCCTCCACCGATGATCCACTTGGCATCGACTATCCGTCTGCCTACCCCCCCTCCGGTGATGCATATCCCATCAAACGACCCCCAGGCGACGCAGTCTACTCCATCTGCCCCCTCCCGACGAAGTCTGCTATCCCATCGGTTGAGCTTCCCACTGGCACCTGCTCTTCTACTCTCATCCCTAACCCCTTCTCTACCACCTTCTCCAATCTCATTGAGGAACAAGCACGACACGATCGGCTTGTTAGATTAGGCTTGGAACAACGCCGCCTCAACACCATGATCTTTTCTACCTGTGCCGGAACCACACAGTTCCAACTCAAGTTTATCGTCGTCTCCCTTGGCGCATCGACAGTGAAGTTCAGGGCCCTCCTTGATATTGGTGCCACCGACAACTTCATCACCGAACCCTGTGTCCGCAAAGCCGGCCTCTCTTCCATCGACTATGACTCCCCAATCACCTGAACACTATCCCCCTATCTCTTGCAATCCTCCCCCGGCATCGACCACTTGTCTATCGGCTCTCCCATCGATGACGATCTCTCCTCCACCGGTGGCCCACTTGGCATCGACTATCCGTTTGCCTACCCCCCCTCCTGTGACGCACATCCCATCAGACGACCCCAGGCGACACAGTCTACTCCGCCTGCCCCCTTCCTGATGACGTCTACTATCCCGTCGGTCGAGCTTCCCACTGGCACCTGCTCTCCTACTCTCATCCCTAACCCCTTCTTTACGACCTTTTCCAGTCTCGTTGAGGAACAAGCACGACACGATCGGCTTGTTAGATTAGGTTTGGAACAACGCCGCCTCAACACCATGATCTCTTCTGCTTGTGCCAGAGCTGCACAGGCACGGTTCCAGCTCAAGTTTATCGTCGTCTCCCTTGGCGCATCGACGGTGAAGTTACGGGCCCTCCTTGGTATTGGTGCCACCGACAACTTCATCACCGAAGCCTGTGTCCGCAAAGCCAGCTCTCCCATCGGTGATGATCTCTCCTCCACCAATGGCCCACTTGGCATCGACTATCCGTCTGCCTACCCCCCCTGTGGTGACGCACATCTCGTCGGACGACCCCCAGGCGATGCAGTCTACTCCGCCTGCCCCCCTCCGACGACGTCTGCTATCCTGTCGATCGAGCTTCCCAATGACACCTCCTCTTCTACTCTTATCCCTAACCCCTTCTCTACCACCGTCTCCGATCTCGTTAAGGAACAAGCACGACACGATCGACTTGTTAGATTAAGCTTGGAACAATGCCGCCTCAACACCATGATCTCTTCTACTTGTGTCGAAACCGCACAGTTCCAGCTCAAGTTTATCGCCATCTCCCTTGGCGCATCGGCGGTGAAGTTTCGGGCCCTCCTTGATATTGGTGCCACCGACAACTTCATCACTGAAGCCTGTGTCCGCAAAGCCGGCTTCTCTTCCATCGGCTAGGACTCCTTAATCACCATCTGACTAGGGGATAAGGACTTAGCCATCGTTGTCGATCACACTGTCCTCGAGACCCTCATGACTGCTGGTCCTCTTCGCTGTCAGGTCTCCTTCGATGTCATGCACCTCATGTGCGACATCGTCTTGGGGACTCCATGGCTTGACCGTTTCATGCCCTACTCCTTCCATCCCTCCTTCGTCCGACTCACCTGCCCTCCTGACCCTCCTCTTGATATCCCTTATCTTCTCCCCCCTTCTACCCCACCCCCTGTCTCCCCTCACCAGTTCCTTCACATGTCTCGTGAACACCCCGACTCCGCTTACTATTGTCTTGTTATCGACCACAAGCGTTCCGAGGACTTGCTTCCAACGGACAAACCCGACCAAGACCCCCCTTTCGATCCTCACATCACCGCTCTCCTCTCTGAATTCAAGGACGTCTTTCCCGGGTCCTTGCCCATCGGTTTACCTCTCGATCCCCTCCGTACCAACTCTCCGTCCCCGAGGCCGAAGAAACGAAGCGCCAGCTTAGTGAACTCCGCAAAAAAGGATTCATTAAGCCTAGCTCCTCCCTCTTCAGAACCAGTTGTCTCTTCGTCAAGAAGAACGGCACCTCGAAACTCCACATGTGCACAGACTACCCTGCCTTGAACAGGATCATGATCAAGAACAAGTACCCACTCCTCCGGATATCTGAACTTCTTGATCGCCTCCGTGGAGCTAAATATTTCACCAAGATCGACCTCCGCAGTGGCTTCCACCAGATCCATATCCGCGAGGAGGACACCCACAAGACCACATTCCGCTCTCGGTTCGGGCACTACGAGTTCCTCGTAATGCCTTTCGGACTCACCAATGCCCCCGCCACACTCCAGTCCACCATGAACCACATATTTCGTAACCTCCTCGAAGTCTGTGTTATCGTGTACCTTGATGACATCCTCATCCTTAGCCACACCTTCGAGTCTCACCTTCAGCACATTCGCCAAGTCATCTCGATCCTCCGAGAGCAAAAATTTTACGCCAAGCTCAACAAATGCACGTTTGCCGCTTCGAGCGCCGAATACCTTGGCCACATTGTCTCCACGGAAGGCATCCGTATGGACCCCTCGAAGGTCACAACCCTCGTCGAGTACCCAAGACCCTCCTCCAACTCCATTCCTTCCTCGGCCTTGCCAACTATTACTGCCTGTTCATTCACTTTTTTTTTTAGATCTCTTACCCTCTCCATGAACTCACACGCAAGGATGAGCCCTTTAATTGGAACGATCACCGCCAACACGCTTTCGACCTTCTCAAGCAAACCATCACCACGGCCCCTATCCTCAAGATTGTCGACCCCACTCGCCATTTCTATGTCACCACTGATGCCTCCGAGTTCGCCATTGGAGCCGTAGTTCCCAGCATTTCCCCCGCGATACCGCCGAAACCCCCTCCATCAAGGACTTGCCCACTCACCCCGAGGCTCCACCCGGCGAATACCCATCGCCTTCGCAAGCAAGAAACTTCTTCCTGTGGTGATTAATTAACCCTCCAACGTGAAGGAACTCCTCGCTGTGATTCACGCCCTTACAGTCTGGCGTCCGTACCTCGACGAACAATACTTCACCATCCGCACTAACAACACCATCGTTTCTTCCATCCTCACCAAGAAAGACATCACCCCACACCAAGCTCGATGGCTCGACTTCCTTGCCCAGTTCACATTCACCGTTTGTCATACCCTCGGCAAAAGCAACTGCGTTGCTAATGCCCTCTCTCGACGACCTGACCACAAGCCCCCCGAGAAAGTCTACGCCGCCATAACCCATATCCAACTCCTCCCATCACTCCATCACCGATACAACCAAGGCTACCTCTCTTGCCCAGACTTCGCCGACATTTACAACAAGCTCCACGATCTTGACCCAGTCCCCTACTACTCCCTCCACGACAACCTCCTCTACATCGACACCAAAGGCACTCGCCAACTGTGCATCCCTGACACACGTGGTCTCCCTACTCAGCTCTTGGCCGAGCACCACGACGCCAAGACCGCAGGCCACCTCCATTTTCGAAAAACCTTCGACACCATCTCCCGCTACTTCTATTGGACGTCTCAGTTCGTCGATGTCAAACATACATTCTCTCATGTCCCACATGTCAGATTGTCAATCCCTCGAACCGGGCCAAACCCGGCAAGCTCCAATCATTGCCCAACCCCACTCACCGGTGGCAGTCCATTTCCATGGACTTCGTGTGCGGTCTCCCTAAGACCGACCGTGGGCATGATTGCATCTACATCATTGTCTGCCGCCTGACCAAACGTGCCTACTTCATTCCTTGCACCACCTGGCACACCGCCAAGGACATCGCCTTACTCTTCTTCGACCACATTGCACGCCACCACGACCTCCCCGAGAATATCATCAGCGACCTCCATCCTCGTTTCCTCTCACGGTTCTGGAAACAACTCTTCAACGCCTACGAAATTACACTCAAGTATAGCACTACATTCGACCCACAGACCGATGAACAAACCGATAAGATGAACGATACTCTCCAAAGAATCCTTCGGAAGTACTCTCATCCACATCAACACGACTGGGATCAGTTGCTCACCGCCGCCGAGATCGCGTACAACAACGTTGTCTGTCCTTCCACTGGCATGTCTCCATTCCACCTTGACCTTGGCTACCATCCGCGCTTGCCCTCTGATTTCGTGCTTCCCTCGCAACTCAACCCCTCCACACCCTACCCTTCCCTCAATGAATGGGTAGCAACAATGAATTGACTCCTCAGAGATGCAACCGAAACCCTCGAAAGAACACAAGAACAAAAAACAAACAAGATTAACAAACACAAACGAGACTTGCAATTCAAAGTAGGGGACAAATTCTGGCTCTCCGCCAAACGCTTTGAACCCGAACATGGATTGTCAAGAAACTCCCGAACAAATGGCTCGGACCCTTCCCCATCATTGAAAAAACCTCCGACGTCAACTACAAACTCCAACTCCCCCCTGACATGAGCCGCATCCACCCGGTCTTCCACGTCGAATACTCGAAAGAATATCATGAATCCCCACCGCAATTCGCTGACCGCCCATATCCTAGACCCCCACTTATCATGTTACCCACAGACCCTGAATTCGTTGTTGAAGCAATCAGGTATCTGACCACCCGGAACCAATCACTGAATACAAAGTCAAATGGACCGGATACCCCGACGAAGAATCTACATGTGACGTGCAACCTCACGCCCCATGTTGTCTTTCGTTCGGAGTGCTAAATGTGTGGAAAAGAGGCCCAGAAA